TTCTGTAACCTATCAAGAAAATATTGATTTTAAAAATAAAGCCTGAAATTTCAATCAGAATTTTCCCAAATTGCTCTGCACTTCTATTCTAAATGCATTTCTATTCATCGATTATCATTTCTCTGTAAGTATATGCCATGTCTACAAGGGCAACTGTTGGCCATCTTACGCGGTTCTCTTACTGATAGTCACGCCCCTCTAAAAGAGATGACTTTGTATGCACGTAGTTTCCACAGAGAAATTACATCCATTTTAGTCTTTCAGCCAAGGTCTTTTCAGAAAGAAGAGCACTGTCTATCAGTCTCTTCTCATACTGATCTTTAGCAGGAAGAGAGAGATGGTCGGACACCAGAAATGCACAAGATTGTAATACAGCCAGTAAATAAAGCCTCTGAAAGAGTGCTGAGGTGCTCACCAGCTGGGTCAGGCAATTGGAGTGGGATCAATGTTAGATGTAAGTAAATGAGAAGGCAGAAAAGGAGAATTGTGAGCACTAAGCAAAGAAACCTATAATGCACTTCTTACAAAGCGCTGTAAATTTCACATTTATTTTGTAAGTATGAGATAGATGGGTTATTTCTACATACAGAGGTGCCCAACTAAAATCAAGATAAGTGATATTAATGTCCTGTGGTCAGTATTATTGAACCTCGAAAGCAATAAACTATGAGTCGATAAATATTACATTTGCAACATAGTTAACATTCTTCTACTGTCTCTGGCACTTATTACACATTGTAACCGCAAGTCTACAATACATTATTCATATTTGGGGTGTCACTGAGTGATGGATTGCTGTAAGAGAGGCTGTCCTTTAAATAAATCAACAAATAAAAATGCAAATGTTAACATTTTCAGCCACAACTTTTTCCATCTTGAATAGGGAATGAAAATTTCACATTATATCGACAGCCAGCAGAGAGAACAATTAACAACCTACACTGTGAATAAGAGAGATTAATTTGCCAACGTCTGGTTTTATCACTTGCATATGGAACTATATTGGACTTTTTGCGCTGCTGGCTCTCACGGGGAGTGGGCAAAACTTGTGTATCATATCATGAACATCACTGAGCTCAGCACCCCACTCCAAACACACTTTCAATTCCTTTAAATGCTCATTAATTAGATCTGGAATGGAAGTTTTGCCCTCCTTGTCCTCCTTTTGAATATTGAATCATTCTAAGGGGAAATATAATCTATATCTTTGGCAGTGCTTGCTTAGACACTATGGGAGGAGAAACTTCACTGCATTGTCTTAAGAGCAGAACCACTCTCGGGCATCTGACATGCATAGATCTGAGAGGCATAGGTAAGACAAAAGCCTAAATCTCATCATTGTTGTATTTCCTAATATTCAGCACAACAGATCTTCTCAGTACTATTCCAATGTGCATTATTAGGCTTATAACTGCACATTATATTTTACTTCAGATATTAATTTGCTTAAAAGCCCCTGAATACACATTCATCTGAGATGTGCTGGGCAATTGGGTAAATAGTTTTGTTTTTAAAATGTCCCTAAACACAAATTTACACAATACAATCTGTTTATAAGAACTCCAACAGGCCACTACAGCCTACAGATAATAACACAGTTCGAATACAGTATTCCTATTGCAGGAACTTCTAAATCACTTATTTGAATGGCTACAAAAAACTTCACACCAAGACGATGCATTCAGGTAGTGCTGAAATTCTGATTTAAAACTGCAACACGAAAGCACAGGCTTAATGCAGAAATCCCAGACTATCACTCAATCCCTTAATTTACTTAACTGTTCTTAAATTTACTTCTTGCCCAAAGTGAAAAATGCTGCAGGAGAATTATCTGTTTCACGGGGAGCAGAACAACCTTTGCCTGTGTCTTTTTAAGTGCTTGATTATCCACAGTGTTACAGGACATACTGTGCAAAACTTGACATTACAACTGTTTCCGCGTGGGGAGAGCCTGACAATTGCACCAGGGCTGTAATCTAATTAAATGGTCTTTCACAATGCACAATTTGCAATACTTCTTTTTTTTTTTTTCCTGAGAAAGCATAAATTAATATTTTGATTTAGAACAGTTTCATTTCTGTTTTGTAACACAGTATTTGTCTTGCTGCAATCATTACCTGATGTTACCTGAGGTATGATCTAGTTTATATAACAACATTCTCATTACTGAATGAAAGCATATAAATGCCACTACCTACTCAATTTCAGCTCCCTTCATAGCCAAAAGAACAGAGCCTTGCTTCTAGGCAAACAACAGTTACAGAAGACATGTCCCTGGCCACCAAAAAGCTATGTAATAAACACTTAGAGGAACAATGCTTTAGGGGTAAAGAACAGAAGTCACTCTTCAGAGTCCGAACTTTGCCTATGATTTTTTCAAATATGCAGGCTTTGATCTAGATAAATAAGCACATGGAATAAGAAAGCTTTCCAGACCTGCTGTGCTGTGAGCATATTTTCAAGGGGCTCGTGCAGGTGTAGACACTTGGCTTAACAACACTGGATACCCAAACGTGATGCTTGGCTGTGTTACAAGAAGCAGCCACAGGCAAGCGTTAAAGCAACACGGGCAAACTAATTCACTATTAGCCTAACTCAAGATGCCAGATAAAGAAATATTACATTTTCTTTCAGAGACACCACTGAGGCAAGCTCGTGCACATTTCTTCTGAAAGTCTGACCCTTCCACTGGTCTAGCACTAAGAATTCGGAAGTACACACCTTTTATCTTCTCAGGAACTTACTTCTTGACCCAGAGGTGATTCAGTGAGAGGGAGAAAGCACTGCAGTGATTGTTCCTGAAGCACAAGGTAGCTGTAACACACTCTGAAATCGCCATTGAGTTCTGCCAAGAAAGGCTATCAAGCCAACACATCTTCTACCTGTCATGCCTGCTGATCTAGCAAGCCCACCCAGAAGCTGAGTGAGCACCCCAAAGCCTTGCTCTGGCAGGGAGCTTCTGTCACTTTCCAACACCTTCTCCCTGGCAAACTTTCCAATGCTGCTACTGCTGAGCGCCAGGGTTTGTGCTAGTTAAAGCTGGCACAAACATGAGTTGAATCTAGTCCTATAAATTTAAACAGTCAAAAGTAATTAGATTTACATGTACTGCCGAATAAATAAATTTGCTCTTCGGCTTGGGCTTTGTGCTGCAAGTTTCCATCTCATGCCAACTGTTGTGGTTAGGCTGTTAAATCCTTCCAAATCACGGATTATAATGAACATGCTGACAAACCCTAACTTTAGTGGCACAAAAGCAGCAATAATTCTCAATATTGATTAATTTAGTTAGTTAAACCTGCAGTCTAAGCTTATAACCATTCAGTGATAAATTGAGACCGACCTGCTGGTCAAGCAGGTTTTTTGATGAAGGATAGGATCAGCTTTAGGTCTCCAAAAAAATACTTGTCCATTTACCATTTTCAATTAGAGAAGGCCATGAGTAAGGGAAAGCACAACATGGCTGCTTAAACTGGTCAATTATATTTAACAGCACCAACAGAGAGAAAGCAAGCTGGTGAGAATGGGAGAGAACCCCCCCTAATATGGGATTTTTCACAATTTGCCATCAACTGGCAAAACAAACCTTTAAAAATGACAGCTAATCAGATTTTTTACTGATTGCTTTATCTGATATGATCTAACAGCATATTTCAACAATTATTTTACTCCCCTCTGTGGAAATGAATGGACCATCAATCCTCTTGAATAAAATTCCTTTTTCCGCACAGTTGTTGTATGATGTGAATAATTATATCTACTCCTTAGTGCTTGAATAGAATCTCAACTTATCACTATTAGATGGTATCAAGCAGTACTTTTACACACTCTTTATCCAATATTACCAGCTTGCAAAGGTAAGTCTTGCTTCTAAGAGAAATGCTAAGGCAATCTTGCAGTTTCTGTTTGCTTAAACACAGTTACTTGTGGGAAACAGAGACCAGTATATCTCAGTTCTTAAATCCTCCCAAATTATCATCTTTTCCTTCAGAAGAAAAAAAAAAAAAAAGTGTTTCCATAGCAAGTAAGTACAAATTTGTCAATATTGGTAGGTTATTCACCTATCATATATTGCAAGTTCTCTCAAAAGATAGAAATAAACTGCCAGCTGCTACCAAGTATACAGGAATGATATCAAGAATACATTTTCCTAGTCCACTGGGCCAAAGAAAGATTAAATCTAACTCAAGCCCTCTCATTGTCCAAGAAACATTTAACTCTTCTTATGAATGGCCATACAGTCTTGTCATCCCACTACACAGAATCATCTAAGAGCATAAAAAATACAGCGAATTCGTACTATAATCAGCATTTACACCATTGTTTAACTAAAGATTTTATTATAATAAAGAGTGGAATATGTTAAAAAAAAGTAAGGACTGTATGTTATTCTTCTCGGCATTTACCCCTAGAATTGTAATCCTGTCCTAAAAGGCAAGTTGTTCTTAGACTCTAACGAGTAACAGCAATGCTGTTTTCTGCTTCTTCTTTAGAGCAGAAGTGATAATGCTGCTTTTCCAGCACATTTAGTGCAGATATATAGCATAATCAGGAATTGCTGGCTTAATGTGATTTTGTTGCTTGTCATTAAACAACTCTGGTATAAAATATTTTAAAACAAATGCCATTTGATAAAATATTGTGTGGAGGGAGTACTGGGGGAGTAAAATCTTTAAGTGGATTTAAAGTCTAACAAGGGTTAACACCATCCATTCAAATTATTTATAAATTTATCTAATGCGTCAGTACTTGAAACATAAAATAGTTTCTGTTCTAAGTAAAATTAAAATGTTAGAACTTGGCATGTTCCTGCTTTTCTTATTCTAACAAGCAATTTAAGGCTTACTATAAATGTCAAAAGGATACCTCAGTTTTTAGTTTATATTATCCATCTTGTGCTAACATGAAACATCATAGAAATTCAGCCACTTCCCTGCATCTAGGAGAATTTGATAGTTGTGTTTGCAGAATCTTAAACCAGAGATTACCCAGAAGCTTACCGTGAAATGTCATGCTGGATTGGTGATGTGGCTGTGGTTACAAGCTCTTTGCTGCTGCCCATCAGTGCCGGAGATGTGGCTGCATCCCCCCTAGGTCCTGAAGTTGTCCCTGTGGAACAAAGTGAAGACATTAGAGGCTAGTTAGCTTTCATCAATTATTTCATGATTCTGTGTTACTGCACAGAACTGGACTAAAAGTGGTTACTTTTTTTTGAAGTCTTTCATACACAGTGAAATTGCAATCAAAGAATTTGCTACCTGTTGACAGTACTGTGCATAGCATTCATTTCAAGATGAATGAAATCAGGTCTGCATAATAAGCCATACATTATAGTCTTCATCTTACTGTCCAAATTTTGACAGACTTCACTGTTACCATTTCATACGCTAATCCACAGGATCCAGCTTGTTTCACAGAAACAGCTCTCATATCCTCTTATGAAACCTTTTTTTCTTGTGTGTGTGTATATAACTATTACTATAACAATATGTTGCTTTAAATAAAATAGAACAGCTAGTCCATTCCTTTCTTCCCTTGGAAATCCTCAAATTATAAAATTGTTCAAGTTGAAAGATGAGGTCCTGTAGTCTAACCTCCACTCAAAGCAGAACCATCGAGATCAGGTTTTCAAGGCACCTATATGGCTAGTTTTCAGTATTGCCACTGATGGTGAGTTATCTTCTCTGTGCATCTTGTTTCAGTGCTTCACCATCCTCAGAGTGAAAATCATTTCCTGTAATAGCTAGGCCAAAATTTCCCGAGTTGCAACTTGGTTCAGTTGTCTCTTGCTTGTTGCTGATGGGCACCTTCAAGAAAGGTCTAATTCCCTCTTGTCTACAGTGTCTCATAATGTGACTGAAGAAAGTGGGAAGATCAGTGCTGGATTTTCTTCTGAGGCTGAACGCATCCAGCTTTCTCAGCCTCTACCTGTACTTCATGTGTCTGGCTTCAACAGACATGCAAAAGACATTTGCATTGTATTCAACAACCTCTAGGCAGGGGCCAAGGGAGCAAAATCCTTCCCAGTAAAAGAGCAAAGCAAGTCCAAGACCATCTCATGAGACTGAATGTGTACAAATCTACGGGAACAGATGACATGCATGCCATGGCCCTGAAGGAACTGGTTGATGTGGTTGCTTTGCCACTGTCCATCATATTTGAAAAGTCATAGCTGTTAGATAAAGTCCTCAGTGACTGCATAATGAGAAACACAACTCTCAATTCTAAGAAAGGGAGAAACAAGACCTCGGGAACTACAGGCTGGGTGAGCCTCACATCTGTGCCTGCTAAGATCATGGAACAGATCCTGCTGGAAAACATGTTAAACCACATAAAGTTGAGAAGATGAGACAGCTAGCACAGCTTTGCCAAGGGCAGATCATACCTAACCAACCTGGTGGCCTTCTGCAATGGAGTAAGGGCCTCAGTGGACAAAAGAAGGCCAACTGATGTCAATGACTTGGACTTGTGCAAGGCTTTTGACATGCTCCCACACCACATCCTTTTCTCTAAATTGGAGAGATATGGGTTCAAAGGGTAGACTATTTGATGGATAAGGAATTGGTTGGATGGTCACGGCCAGAGGGTTGCAAGCAATGGTTCTATGTCCAGGTGATGGCTGAACATAAGCGATGCTCTCCAAGGATCCATCTTGGGACCATCCTTAATTGGTGCTTTCTACAAATTTCCTGAAGGTGCATCCTGTACCACTGTTAAAATTGCTAACATTAAACAGCATCAGTCCTGGTAAAAATCTTTGATGGACTTCACTAGCAACTGGCTGCCAGCTGGACTGACCACAACACTATGAGGATTACCCATACTTTCACCCATATTCCAGCCTCCATCTATCCACCTCAGAACTAAGTTTTATAGATACTGCTTACCCAGACAGTGTACATGCAGGTCATCAGTGACAAGTGGAATAAGCAAGTTAGGGATAATCTGATTTTGTAGGTAAAAGCCTCTGGGATTGCTTTTTAAAAATACGTCACTAGTAATGACTTATCAACATGACGTAAATGAAAAGTAAATATAGGGAAAACCACAGGTTTAAACAAAAATCAAAATCAAATCAGTATCTAGCTCTTTAATTCTGTCATGTCTAAATATTTCTCAGCTCTGTGAACAGCAAGTTTATCTACCATTCATGCTGAAATATGAAGCAATGCATCAAGGTTGGAGCTCCAACTTCTGCGCAAAATTTACAGACATCAAAGAGATTATTCAAAATATTATTTTGATTTAAGAAGTATACAAATACATGTCTACAACCTAGTAAAAACAACTGTTTTAAGTACATTCTAGTGAGGCCAAAAAAGAGATAGGTTCTTACTGTCCTGCTACAGTGCACTGTGCTTCAACGCTGTGTAGGGAAAAAAGCTCCCCTAGTGAACAGTTAATTATCAGAGAAGAAAGTTTTAGAAATATTGTGGGGATATATGTTGATTGGGTGTCCTTGGTAACTTGAGAGCATGCCAAGCCATGGTAAGAGTGGGTATGCATACAAAGACTGGAAGCCTCTTGCTTAGACTTTTGGCTTCAAAACTGAATAAGTGAGACTTAGAAACCATTTCAACTGACAGTGGAATGAGGCAGCTGGATCTTAAGAAACCAATACTGAAGTAATAAAAGCTTGGCGACCATGAGAGAATATATTCAATTCCTGTATGAGAAAAGGCTGGCACATTGTCAACATACTACATTCAAAACAAAGTAGATGTATTTCTCCGAAAAAGAAAATATATGGACTCAGAGTGGCCAATACAACCTCAAGGGGACTGTTCATAGACCTACATTTGAAAATATTACCAAGGCCAGAAATGAAAAACAAGAAAAGGGGCTAAGTAATAATATATTGATGCTGTTAGACTGCACAGAGCTAGAACAGGGGTAGCAAGAAATCTTGAATAAGCGCATATACAAACAAAAAAATGTTTTAAATTACATCTTGAAAAAGGCAGACAAGTCTATTGAGGGAAAAGAAACACCAAAGAGAAAGCTGGTCCATTAATATATGGAGCAGATTAAATCAATAATGATCCTAAAATGGTCAAACTACTAATAACTTTAAAATATAGTATAAAAAATAAAGAAAATGAATATTGGCAAATACTGTTTCATAAAGCTGATGAAAAGAAATTATCAAGGGGAAAAAAAGATAGAAAATCTTTAGTCTGAAGGATATATATTTCATAGCTAAACAGAATTAGTTAATGAATTTATGAAGTGACTGGTAATTATTTATGAAAAGTCGTAGAGAACTGGGGTGATGCAAATGACAGCAAATTAATTAGATTTCCAGGTGTTAGAAGACAGTATGAGACTGGAAAAGTTACAGATGACCTAGAGAACTAAGGGATGTGGAAAAAGAATAGACACATTCACCTGGAAAAAGAAACCTCATATGTGGTGTGAATAATCTAAATTCTGATATCAATGCAAAGAGAGAGCTGGAGTAGAAAAGAATAGCAAAAAATAAACTAGATAAAGGCAAGGTACCCACAAAGCAATTACCAATGCCTTCTGAATGGTAACACTAAGAATGCTATTTAACTTAGTGCAAGAATGATTTAAAGTAGGCTAAATGGACTTTTGAGAAAATTCTAATAGCTGAATATTTCTGCTTGAGAAACAGAAAACTAAAGCATAAAGAGTGGAGAAATATAGCAGCCTACATTTTTGAAAGTGTGAACACTACAAATGAAGAGAAGCTGTTGAGTCTGGTTCAAGCAGCAGTGGAATGAAAGTAAGCAATGGGAAATTTAGGTTGATAATCATGACGGAAATCTTTATGAATTGAATAATAGTAATATTCATAATGCTTAACATTTATATAGTACTTTACATCTTCAAAGCACTTCACTAATATTAACTAATTGCTCTATTCGATTGCAGGGAAGAGTCTTCCCTCAAGGGAACTTGTTCCAGATCCTGAATCCCTAAGAAGCTCCATTAGAAAATCTACCGAAAACAAACACTGTAGAAGAAAATCAGCCCCTGGAAAAGTACAGATTCTATGAGATAAAATATTTTTTTTCTTTCTCTGACTTTTCCCCTTACATATAGAAAGGAAAGCTGCTCATGCTATACATTATCATGCAGATACTGCATTCCCCTGAAGTGATACAAATGGAAAAATATACTTCCTTTGTTTCAGTGTAGAAAGATCTTAAGAAGGAGGTAAATAGAATGACTTTCTGTGAGGTTGTACAGAAGCAAAGTGTCCAGTATTGCAGAATACAATCTAGCTTATTTTCCCAGCCCAAAAGCAAAATTTTCCAGGGCAGAAGGAAAGAGAAACACACACTTCTGTACTTCAGTGCTTTTGAACTAGACAAGTTGTTAGATTTTAGTACAAATTGACATAGCTGCTGGTGACACCAATAAAAACAATTTACTGCTGAAAAGATCTAAGACTCAAGGATTGCTTCGTCTGCTTAAAGTTTTGCTGGTAGAACTAAAAAGAAGTTTGGCTACAAGACACAAACACCTAGTAAAGCAAAGGAGTAAAAATTTAGGAGCAAACAGAAGTGAAAGGTAAGAAGCCTTCAGTGAAAGAATAAATATTGACTGCCTAAGCTGGGTTGATCCAGTAAGCTTCCAGCCTGCAAAGAGAGCAGAAGTGCTCCTTTTGCTCCACAAGGCGATGGGGCCAGGTTTTTCTCCTTTTTCTCCTTACTGAACTTCTGTAGTGAGAAAGGAAAAGTGGGCTTGTCAAGAATTACACCTTCCAAGCACACCACTCTCACAGTAAGTGAGCAATCCTGTGGGCAGTAAAGCCACCCTTCATTCCAGCACAGAAATGGTTCACCAATTAGTCAATTCATCTTCTCAAAACAAAATCTAAGAAGACAAAAGTATTGAAAAAGGACAACACCAAAATCTGATACAAAAGCATATGCTGCTGTGTAAGAGACACTACCATGAGTTACACAGTACCCCCAGAAGTGCTGGAAAATTATGCTGTGCTGTAGTAGAGCCTAAAGACCTACAACAGACCTGGCTTTACGGTAAGATGTACCTGGGGAGCCATCCTCTCCAGCCTCAAACATTCACAATTTAAATTGACAGGACAGATCAAGGAATGAGAAAAAATAAACCTCTGTAGCAGTAGTGCAACAGCTGACTGTCAGGAAGCTCTCAGCAGTTAGCACTTGATCTTCTGACCAAATTAACATGTGAAAGTTTGCTGCTAGATAACACCAAATTTCATGCCTTGGGATGTTATCTTGCTGACTTTGTATCGTCACATAGCATGGCTTAGATGGGGCTTAGTGACTGCACTGCAGAAGAGGGACTACTTTCTACTGACAGAGTAGGCAACAACCAGAGAGACTTCCAGGCTTGCTGGCTCCAAACTCTGATGCCTTTTGATAAATGGCACGTTTTTATGAATTCACAACAAAAACAGTATTGACATCCCCTATTTTATTCTTGTAGATGTGACTTACCCACTTGCTAACAAAAGAATAAAGTCTAAAGTTGAAATCCTTGTTCAGAAACAGATGGTAATATGTAGTAGAAGCAAGGACAAGGAACAGCTAAGTCCAGGACTGCCTGGAATTAAGAAACTTAACATTGTGCCCTGGTGATCCCCGGAGATGAGAAAACACCATACAGGTATGTGTGTATGGTTGTTAAAGGAGTTCAAACATGTAACAGAGGGAAGCCAATTAAAAAGGTTCTAAATACAGAAGACTTCAACTTCAGTGATTAGTGCTAGGTAATTTGCCTTGTGATAAACAAGCTATTCAAATCAGTAATAGACCTGAGGTAGTTCCACAGCTTGAAATAATTTCTCTGAATTTTATCTGGTATCACAGTAAATGCCGATGTTTATAAGCTAAATTTTGCCATGCAGCTCAAGGCTACTAATCCCAACAAGTGCTTGCTTAAAGACACCCACCATCTTCAGGTATTATATTGACCAGTATACTCACTAAATCAGCGCAGATGCAGTTTGGTTGCTATGTGCAATGTGCAGTGTGTAACTTCTTCTAAGTACTAGAAAATGAAATGAATGAATGCAGGGAAACCCACGTTGGATATTTTTTTCTCCCCCAAATCTATGGAAAATAAATTACTTTTTTGGGACTATCTCTATCCAAGGAACAAAACCCATCATCCGACTGTGAAAAATCTCAATTTCATCACTACAGTATTGAGAAGGAGAGGGGAGAAGGAAGAGGAAAAGAAAAAAAATAATGATAGCTGAAAAAAACATAAAAGAAAACCATCAGTGAAAATTGCCCCTGAAACTTTGCAGAATTGTAACGGCTTTCTCTTGCTTAAATTGATTGGTGTAGCAATGTTATAAAATGACTATTAGGATTCATTGTGCACAACAGAAAGTGTGAAATGTCAGCAGACTATACAGCAAAAGTAATGGGTCCTGAACCCCTGTTAGTCAAAAATGATTTTGTTTCAAATTAGAAATTGATTTTTTTTGGACACAAGCCTTTTACAGGCTTCCAACTTTTGTAGCTGTGCCTTGGAAGAGATTAACCTCAGCCACTGTTTGGGTCCAGGCTGATGATACCCTTTTGAAAGTTTCTTCACAGGGACTGCTTTTTAATGTTGGTATGGTCTTAACCAATAACACAAGTTATTTGTTCCTTTGAGAACTGCACCACATTTCTTTTCATTTTGCCATTTTCTTTATTTTTATGCTGACATATACAGCAAACTGGCTGACAAGTTAAGGAAAGAAAAAAAAAGCTAGCTCATAATTGAACCAAGGATTATGTTCAAGGCTCAGCAGTGAAACATCCAAGCTGCTTTTGTGCCCAACACTCTCTTCCTGAGAAAGAAAGCTTTCTCTGCTCCTTAAGTGGAGGTACTAAGCTAAGAGCAGGATAGATTCTAGCAGTACAGACATCCCTGTGTGGCAAAATATCAGGTAGCAATGGTGGAGCCATTTCTTGGGGAGGAAAAGAATGTGAAGAAGATTACATTTCAAGAACAAACCCCACTGCACTTATTCTCTGCTTGCTGGGAAAGGAAAAAGAATTGTTGAAGTAGTTTTTTGAGATTAAAGGGCTATTCTTTTCTCTTTTATCAGGAACACCAACCAAGAAGATCACTTTTTATTTACAAGTTTTTGTATGCTTTTACTTTGAATGTAGCTAACTTCTGTTGGGTTGTTTTAAGCAACTTGCAATCTTCTCCCTCTAACTGTGCATTTTGCTGATCTTCTCTTGAACACATACCCAAAATTGCCATCAGTGTAATCATGGCCCTGCAATACAGCATACTTTCTCTAACCTTTCCTTGACTTGCTGCCTTCCCTCTTGGCCTGCATCAGAAGGGCTTGCCTATCTTCCACATTTGCACCAATACCAGCCATCTTCTTCCCCGAACTGCTCCCACCGCTGCTCCGTGACGTTCTGGAGGCTTTGCTCACTGGTGGTGTCCTGGGATCATAATCTTCACGTTTTGACACCGGTACACTAGGAAGAAAGAAAGGTGACTCAGCTACATGACATTGACCTCTTTAACACTGCACAAACTCTTTAACACCTCCTCCTCCAGAAGCATAACCACCATGGTGCTGGTTGAGCTCCTGCTCAATCCATTTGCAATTTCTGAAGGCAGGATGCCTAAGGATTGAAGGGTTAAGTTACCAGCTACTTCATTTTCCATGGGAGTCATTGGTTATCAGCAGCTGGCAGCAGTCAGACAATTCCATTTGGAGTTTTGCTTTATTTGGAATATTCCCAAAAGCATCAGGTCTTGGATTTTCTGAGTGTTTAGAACAGGACAAGTGGGATGAAGATACAGAGAGGATTTTGCTCAGCATGGTTGAGGAAGGTTGAAAGAAAAAAGTAATAAAAAATGCTCACTTTGCTAGGAAAAAGGGGAAATAAAGAAGAATCAGATAGATAGGATAAAAACTAGAATCATGGTTTGCAAAAAGGAAGCAGATGACACATTGATCAAAGGAAAAAGAAAAGGATGAGAAACAAAAAGTGATGAGCTAAAAGCACAGAGGTAATTCTGTGGACAGCAAATGTATGAATGAGCTGTAGAGGGAGAACCTGCTGTAGCAAATGCAACAGCTTAGGTAGAAAGTAAGAAAAGAGAAAGCCAGAAAACACAACAGACAGCATGTTCCAGGAAGGTCTCATGCAAAAGATTTTAAGCATTCCACAAAGACAGCCAGGATGCAAATCTGATGACATAGAGTAAGCATGATTTCAGTCCCTGCAGACACACAATCACAAAACATTTGGGGAACACAGGTCATTGAGACCATCTTTCTCTAACTAAAGGCATCAGACTGCTTTCAAATTCTGCTCTGAGGAAAAAGACTACTGCTTTAAACAAAGATTCCCAACATTTATAAATCATTACACCCATGACCCTTATGCAGTTAAAGAAAGCAATTAAAAATATTTTTAAAACCTTTGGATTATCCACAGGAAGGAATACAGTTCATCCCAAGATTATACCACTCTGTTTGCAAGCATGGGACTGACATACAGCTTTCCAAAGTTAGCAGAAGATTATACAAATCTTTTTCCTGTTTAAGTACCAATTTTGCACGGATAACTCAAAGACTTCTACTAAGTTTGCATTATTTGGGATACAGTTTTATAGAGGATGATTCACAAGAATCTTTTACATAAGAGTTTATATTACTGAAGTTAGTGTATATCCAAGGGGAAAAAAAAAAAAAAAAAAAAGAAAAAGAAAAAGAAAAAGAAAGCAGATATCCAGTGTTCCCATCAGGAAATGATAGCTAAATTAGAAGTTTCAAATCAGCGTGCTGCAAAAGTCTCTGATTAATAGGGTCCACTGCACCTGTTTGACAATTAGTATTTTCCCCCTATTAATAATGTAGAACATTATATAATGGCTCCTGACCCATAATAACTGGCTGAAGAGTTGCATAAAACTTCTCCAAATAACCTCCATTTACTGTAGGGTTTCAAGCTGCATGGTGACTTAATAACATTGCAAAGTGTTTTTAAAATTAATGGTAGGCTAATTTAGTACCTATTTGAATCCTATGAAACTATTAATCTACAAATTCCTGCAACCATTAGTACAGTCAGAGGTGGGTTTGGACCCTAATAACCATTTAAGGGGCTTTAAGATGTAATCATTGACCAGATTTCTCTGATCATACAGGACTTAGTTCTTCATTGGTCTGATTCTTAATGATTAATAACTTAAAAATATGAGTGGTGGTCTTGATGAAGAGTGACCCTTCATGTGTAGAGAAGGAAGCAAATATTCTGCCAGTTCACTACCATACATCTTACATGGTGTGGTCATCTGAAAAATACCAGCTTTTTGGTTTAAATAATGTTACGTCAGATGGAACTCAGATATAAACACATGCCAAGAGGAAGCTGCAGATGCTGATTTATAAGAAAATAACAAAAGCAAACATATCTGCATTTGTAGCTCACTACACAATGAATTAGAGCTTGGTTCTTCATAACTTAATTAAAGAAGGCTGACAATAAAGTTTTGTTCAAGTGAGGATGTAGGGTCAAAACTTGAAACAACAAACAAATCCAAGACATTTCATTCCAAGGATGAAAAGTGATAACATAGAGAGACACGCAGAAAAAGTCAATAATTTTCATAAAAATGAAAAAAAAAAAAAGAAAAAAGAAAAGTAAGGAAGAGAGCTATTTCGAAGAAATAAGCAGTGAACTGAACAGGTGATTGGTTAGTAGGACTTCCATAGGGCACCATGAATTGACTACACAACTGCCTAAATGAAGACCTTCCTAACCTACCTAACCTGCGTACTAAGGCAGGAGTTGCAACGTAGCATCAACAGAAAAGAAGCGAGACTCAGCATTACTGCCTCCTGATGAATACTGAAGTGCATCACCAACAAAGAAGAACACCTTGGGCATTTTTCCGTTCTGTCTGTGCCTCATATCGCGATATCCCTGCTGAGTGTGAATGGCAAATTTTAAATGTCATTCAGGACCTATTGAATACTGCTAGTATTTGCATTCCTTAAAAAGTAGAAAAACATTAACCTTTTGTTTTATTGAATTAAAATGCCATGGAAATGCTGATGTAGTCTTCAGAGACTGAAATACTTTTACAAAGAAGAATAGCTGTCATTTATTAGACACAAAGAACAATTACTTGATAGGATGCTTTCTGACAAAAAGCAGATTGGTATTCTCATCATAGAAAAGGCATTGTAAAAAAACCCAGCGCAGACCTCTGAGACTTGAATAATTTAAAGCTGCATTTGGTGCAATTTGAATTTTTCTTTAGGGAGGCAAAGTTAAATACCTTTAATTTGTTCTAATTATTTCAAATTTGCAAGTTAATTATGGCTGATCATTAAATAACAAAAAGGACTATCGTCTCCATAGAGTTTTACCTCCTACCCTCTGCATTACTTAAGCTAGATTTTAGTATGCATGAATTAACTTTCTAAATAATCACACGGTTTGACTAAATGGCTCAGTAAAATGAGCTCTGATCCTCAGAATAAGCATTAATGGACATTAGAAAGGCTATTGGGACCCATGTTACTTACATTATAAGTATTTTTAATGGGGTCTTATTTACTAATCTTTATGTACTGTTCAAGTTAGGGCACCATATAGATACATTATTCTGCTTTAATAGAGGAAAGTCAGTTCTTCAAGATACTAAAACAAATGTCCATTTAGAGCCAACTAAATTAATTTTTAAATTAATGCAGGAAAACTCTGATAGAATTTAACTTGTTTTAGCTACTCATCTTAATGAATCAATCCAACATAATGGTAGCCTTGGTCTGCAAGTGGAATTTTACAGATCTGTTGAATTACTAAGCAACTGAAGCAGCTAAGACTTTTGCCACAGAGTAGCATTCACCATCAGTACATGTACAGCCAAGAGAATGTTTCTTCCCTACTCTTTAGCTTGTGATCATCTGACAAGTTCCCATCCATCGAATTTGGATTCTCACCTTTCACTGAACTCTGATCTTTCTACGCATTTTTCAGTGCAGATCAGTGGTATCCCGAGAACACAACTATGTTGTAACTAGTCAGAAAACCAAAATGCAAGACAATTCATGCCTCCGGTATATATGTTCAACAGATGGCTGCCTTAATGGTACTCTGCTGCTCCCTGTTGAGACAAGGGCTTGACAGTTTAACCATTATCAAACTAACAGATTGCTGTGATAAGACAGCTCCAAAAGTAAACATGTTGGGATATTATTTTCCTGTTCTGCAATTCCTGTTTTAAAAATAAAATAATTAACAGTTCATGTGTGCAATCTGCTGTAATTATATCAGGCCAAGAGTGCATAACACTTAATGATGCAAAACTGGTGACAAGTAGACAAATCCAAGCAATACATTTTTGTAGCTGGAACTTGCATTGCCATTTCAGATGCAGTTGGATAAGTAGTCTGAAAATTATTTTTTCTTCCCTATCCAATCCCTTCAGCTGAGAGAGTTTCCAGCCAAATCAGCTTCCTAAGTCAGCTCAGCATAAAGCAACAGTGTCAAAAGTGCTGGGACAAAGGAGGTGACAGTTCGTTTTGGGTCTAGATTTAGATCAGTTTAAATCAAGTTATTGGAGCACAGCTTTGAAAGCCACCAGTTCCAAAGCGGGACTTTTGGGCAAGCTGGTCGTCTTCATGGCCATTAAAAAATATTTTCTGGGAGAAAAGTAGGTCTGTAGAGTTTAGATGAGTGGCCCTTAGAAGAAACACCAGTGGTCTTCTGTCCAATCACAACTTACTCACTCTTGTCAAATGTGCTGTGTAACTCTACTCCACGTAGGCTCCTACTTCCAGAACATCCAAGTGCCTCATATTTCTGAAGTGTTTTGCTGTTGTTGTTGCCTTGATAGTGTCAGGTAGGGTGGGATGGGATTACCCTCATTCACAAAGCAAAGAAGGCAAGAAACAGATGTGGTAAGGAAGATAGGACTCTGGATGGTAATTGGGTCTGCAGAGGAAGAAGAGAACTGGAGACAACTTTCAAACGTTAAGAAAGTTAGACACCTGAAATTAGTGTCTTAATTCGTGAAATTAAGCAGATATATACTCTGTGTATCTTCCTAAAGCTAGTCGTGAGGAAAATCCTGACAAGCGGCAGCACTTAAGGTCCTCGTTAGAGCATTTCCATCTGCAACATGAAATCCTCTTCTGTAGGAACATCCTGCTCCTTTTTTGGAGCAGAAACACGTCAAGATGTAAAGGCAGCAGTGGGAGAAAGGTGGGAAATGGGCTGCTCACTAGTGATTTGTGTGGGGAGAGTAGAGGTGGAAGAGAGCTTATAGTGTTGCAGGTGAGGAGAAGCACAGCAGAACTTCAGGCCAGTGTCTCATCACTGAATACCATCAGCCTTGCATTCCTTGTGACAAAAGCAATCTGTTTATGTCAGGAGACCAACAGCCTTCAAAACATAAAAATCTAAAGCCTATTTCATATTGAAACCGAGTGCTTGAAAAAAAAATCAAAGCT